TAGAAAGAGAGAGACAAACACAGAGAAAGACACAGAGACAGAGAGAAAGAGAAAGACACAGAGAGACAGATAGATAGAAAGAGAGAGACAAACACAGAGAAAGACACAGAGACAGAGAGAAAGAGAAAGACACAGAGACAGAGACACACACAGAGAGAGAAAGACACAGAGACACAGAGAGAAAGAGAGAGAGACACAGAGAGACAGGTAGAAAGAGAGAGACACACACAGAGAGAGAAAGACAGAGACACAGAGAGAAAGAGAAAGAGACACAGAGAGACAGATAGATAGAAAGAGAGAGACACATACAGAGAGAGAAAGACACAGAGAAAGAGAGAGAGAGAGGGAGACAGAGACAGAGACAGAGAATCACTGCAAAACCCTTATGCTAAGAAGCAAGAAAAACTGGATTTCGGAGTTAAATTCTTATTATGCAAGTCTCTCAACTTTTTCCATGCCACTTCTGGCCACACCTAAATTCTTTAATTTCGCCTTATCTGGGGCCGTGGCTGAATCCAGGCGAGCAGGAAGTGAAACAGGACAAAGCTGGGCTCCCGAGATCAAACACCGGAAGATTTAATCTTCCTCGCCAACATCCCATCCCATGAGAATCGCTGCTTCCACAATGCAAAACACCGCAGCCAGGATTCGCCCACCAGCGACCGGCCGGGTTTTTCAAATACGGAACATGAGTTTTGCGGAGAGCTGGGGGGGCCGGTGAACAAGTCCTCCAATTCTTTGGCTCTTTATTGTTTAAAATATATATATATATTATTTTACAGGGCTCTCCGACCTTGGCAACTTTGCGACTTGTGGACTTCAACTCCCAGAATTCCTCAGCTGGCTAAGGAATTCTGGGAGTCGAAGTCCACAAGTCGTAAAGTTGCCAAGGTTGGAGGGCCCTGATTTAAAAGACAGTATTTCAAGCCAAGCTGGACTGTTGACTTTTCGTAAGCATTTCCACAGCATTTTTTCAAAGTTAAATATTCCCCCGCCTCTCGCCTCTTGTAAACGTTGGGAATTACGGCTTCTTCCGATCAAATTCTGTGGGGCATTGTCTTGCTTTCTTATTCATTTTTCCATTGTACATTTTAACAATGGGACGTTGCCTACAGATTTGCCGCTGAGGTGCACACACAAAAAAAACTTCTTTATTTTCCAAGCAGGAGGCCTGGAAAGTCTGAATCTTGGACAGGGTTTTTCAAACTTGGCCACTTTAAGAGATGTGGACTTCAACTCCCAGAATTCTGGGAGTTGAAGTCCACCCAGCTTAAAGGTGCATGGTGATTGGGGAATTCTGGGTGCTGAAGTCCACACAACTTCAAGCACATTGGCCGAGGAATTCTGGGTGCTGAAGTCCACACCACTTCAAGCATGGTGACTGAGGAATTCTGGGCGTTGAAGTCCACACAACTTCAAGCATGGTGACTAGGGAATTCTGGGAGCTGAAGTTCCTACTGTCAAGCATGGTGACTAGGGAATTCTGGGAGTTGAAGTCCACACCACTTCAAGCATTTCGGCTGGGGGATTCTGGGAGCTGAAGTTCTTACTGTCAAGCATGGTGACTAGGGAATTCTGGGAGTTGAAGTCCACACCACTTCAAGCATTTCGGCTGGGGGATTCTGGGAGCTGAAGTTCTTACTGTCAAGCATGGTGACTAGGGAATTCTGGGAGTTGAAGTCCACACCACTTCAAGCATGCTGGCTGGGGAATTCTGTGTGTTGAAGTCCACACAACTTCAAGCATTTTGGCTGGGGGATTCTGGGAGCTGAAGTCCCTACTGTCAAGCATGGTGACTAGGGAATTCTGGGAGTTGAAGTCCACACCACTTCAAACATGCTGGCTGGGGAATTCTGGGAGTTGAAGTCCACACCACTTCAAACCCGCTGGCTGGGGAATTCTGGGCATTGAAGTCCACACAATTTCAAGCATTTCGGCTGGGGGATTCTGGGAGCTGAAGTCCCTACTGTCAAGCATGGTGACTAGGGAATTCTGGGA